AGCAAAGACCAGCCTACATGAAGATAGGTTTGACGCTGAGAGTGTATTAGGGTGGGGTCTAGGAAGAGAAAGGCCATAGGATAAAAAGAGGTACCTGAACAAATAACTACTACAGAAAGCATCAGTTAGTATTTTTAAAGTATTAGCCTCCCATAGTGTTGTTTTGTTTTGTTTGTTTTTTTTTTTTTGGACATAAGAATTGCTGTAGGATTGCTAGGAGTAAATTTGTTTACTATGGGCTTAAAAGAAATAATTTTGGGTTGGCTGGGTGGCTCAGTAGTGAGTGACTCTTGATTTTGGCTCAGGTCATGATCTCAGGGTCATGAGATCAAGCCCCTTACTGGTCTCCATACTTGGCATAGGGCCTGCTTGAGATTTTCCCTTTCCCTCTGCCCCTCCCCTCATGCTGTTTCTCTCTCTCAAATAAATAAATAAATCTTTTTAAAAGAGAAATAATTTCATTAGCAGTTAAAAATTGCAGTAATGTTGTATATAGTCTAACTGCTATGGTAACTGGAAAACAATGCAAAAGTCTGCAGTGCTATTATTGGGAGTAAATCTCATTACTATGACTAAGGCACAGATAAGTTCTATTAGTAGTTAAATCCTGCAATAATACCCTGACAATTTTTACTGCAAAAACTGTAAAACCTAAATATAAACATTTTTATCACTAGGAATGATAATAATTCAAGCCTTTGGTTGCATTTCATAGACTAGAATCTCCATTTTGAAGGTTTCTGAAACAGTTACTAGCAAAGCTGCTGTGTGGAAAATAATTTCTATAATTTCAAAATTGTCATGGCAAAGAAGATTGAAAGTTTTGGGAAGGCATTTTCCACTTCATAGTCTATCTTCACTGTGAGCTTGATGATATTTAAAAGCAAAAGTTGAAATTATTTTTTTTTGAAATTATTTTAAATGTTGAATCTTCTGTTAAGTAAGACACCTATACAATTTTGTACTCAACAATTGGGTCAAATGAACAGCACCATCAAAGTAACATACATCCACAGGTCTATTACATGCAGAGTAAGCCTGAGATGGAAGGAAATGATAAATCAAGACCTGAGTAAACAGGGGATAGAAAGGGTTTGAAGTGCAGTTCCCCTGTGGAAGGGGAGAGGGTCAGAAGGATGTATACACTGGTAGGTAGAAAGAAGGGGGCCTAAAGATCTCAGCTAATATATAGTGTGAAAAGTGGTCATGAGGATTGAAGGTAAATGAATACTAGTAATTATTATAAAATTTTGAGTCCACATAACCATATTGGTTTTCCATTCTTGGTAATCACTGAGTCAGGGGAAGAGGAATAATGTTCAATGCACTTTTTCTTTAGTCCTGAGGTAGCTATTTTTAGTAGCAACTAAGTATTGCCCAAGTATTCTTGCAGGTCTGGTTGTTTTCCTCTTGACTGTTTATGAAACAAACACAATGGTGTGTATTATTAATAAACATTTATTAACTTTACTATGTATCAAGTACTTTACCTACGTATCTTTCATCTTCTCAACATCCCAGAAAGGCAGGCATGGATATTTGTTTGACAGAATAAGAAGCTGAGACTCAGAGAGGTTACGTAATTTGTGTTATTTTCTTGCATGCATGTTGAGTAGCTGTTTCCGAAAACTCTTTTCAGAATAGAGATTGTATTTTTTATGTACTATTCATAGCATTTATATGATCAATACTCAGTTGTTTTCAATAATTTTCAGCTAAGCAGATGAAAAATCATAAGATAGTGGATATGGAAGATTCTTCAATAAATTTAGTTAGCAGACAAGTTATTAAAAAAAAAGTTATGAGAGAAGAAGTAACTGGTGGAGACTCAAGGAGCCAGCCTATGAACTTGAGCTTAGCAGCAGAATAATGTCAAGGTCTAGTCTTAATTATTTCTTTTATTTTTTTAAAAAGAATTATTTATTTATTTGAAAAAGGGAGAGAGAGACAGAGTGAGGAGAGGGAGACAAGCAGACTCCCCACTGGGTGGAGAGCCTGACATGCAGCTTGATCCAAGGTTCTTGAAATCATGACCTGAACCAAAATCGAGTCAGACATTTAACCGACTGAGCCACCCAGGTGCCCCATTAATTACTTCATTTTGAACCTTGGTCTCTTCTTATCTACCTGGCTAGAATTAAAAAAGAAGAGTTTACATCCAAGAAAAGCTGTCTTATAAGAAACTTTTTGCCTGGGCACCTGGGTGGCTCAGTGGTTGAGCATCTGCCTTTGGTTCAGGTTGTGATTCCAAGGTCCTAGGATCGAGTCCCACATCAGGTTCCCTGCCTGCTTCTCCCTATCCCTCTGCTTCTCTCTGTGTCTCTCATGAATAAATAAATAAAATCTTAAAAAAAAAAAAACAACCCAACACTTTGTCAGTCTCTTGAGAAAGATTCTCCAGGGCTCCTATATACTCTGTCGTCTCCTTGTTCTTTCTCTTCTTCTTCCCCAAAAGAAAGACATATATTTAAAACTGATTGTTGGTTTGTTTTTTTTTAACATTTATTTAGAGAGAGCACATTCAGGGGGTTGGTGTTGGGGGAGGACTAGAGGCAGAGGGAGAGAGAGAGAAAATCTCAAGCAGACTCCCCACTGAGCACAGAGCCAGATGTGGGGCCGGATTTCACAAACCCTGAGATTATAAGCTGAGCCAAAACCAAGAGTTGGATGTAACTGACTGAGGTACGCAGGCACCCCCAAACTGATTGCTTTTAAGATAATTTCTTTACAATAAAGCCCCTCTCTCTTTTCCTTTCATTCTTTTTTTTTTTTGAGGATGAGAAAGAGTATTAAATGAAACCAGGTTGATCACATAAGAAAGTTCGAAAAGTTCTGAAGAACAGTAATAATTAGGATGCAAAACTCTCCTGATTTTAGGTAGATCGAAAAAGAAAGAAAGAAAGAAAGAAAGAAAGAAAGAAAGAAAGAGAAAGAAAAAAAAAGAAAGAAAAAACTATGGTTTTTTATACGTGGGTTGTTCCTGAAGGGCAACTTAGATTATAAAATAGTATATGACCATTTCTATAAATTAGTCATTAAAAAAAAAACCCATACGCTTAAAGTCTGTTAATGATGCAGAATATATCACTGTATGAGATCATAATGGCTGTAGGTTGTAGTGACTTAGTAAACCACTCAGGAAGGACACTTGAGAACTCTGAGATGCATGGAGAATAAGAATCAATATAAATATTATGGTTATCTTAATATTTTAAAATTAAGACTGTAGCAAAATAAACAATATCTATGTCCTTTCCTGTTAAATGCACATTGTGTTCTTGTGGTATTATTAGAATCTCTTCCTTTATTGGAAGTGGAAATATAATTAGATACTGGATTCCAGCCTTCAGTCTGTCTCCCCATCTCTCCTGATTCTTCAATCTCTCTCTCCTTTCTCTCGCTCTTCTTGTGTCTATAGATGTGATCAATTCTCACCATTGCCTTCCTGCCCTGTCCTTCAAAGAATCCTTCCCTAGACCCTGATATCTTTCAAGCTTTGTCCGTGCACTCTGCTCTCCATCCTTCCTAAGATTAACAATGGCCCTTAATTGTTTCCAGGACCTCACCCGCTTGTTTTCTTTTCACATTAGCTACCCTCTCTTTTTTCAAACTCTATGCTGATTGCTTATAAGGTGCTCCTACTTCTCTGACCATTCCTCCTCAGTCTCTTTTCCACTTTACTCTGCTTATTCCCCTAAATCATTTTCTGCCTTCCTTACACCAATAGGTCTGCGAACTACCTAAAATTATTTCCTTCCTTCCTTTTCTTTCTTTTTTTTCTTTTCTTTCTTTTCTTCTTTCTTTCTTTCTTTCTTTCTTTCTTTCTTTCTTTCTTTCTTTCTTTCTTTCTTTCTTCTTTCTTTCTTTTTTCTTTCTTTCTTTTTCGATCTACCTAAAATTAAAAGGAAATTTCCGTGTTTCATGATAGGATGTATTACCCTCCTTGGGTTAGTGTTTATAGCTTTCCTCCTATTCTCAAAAGGCTCCTTGGCTCTTTTGAAAAGGTTAAGAGCCCCTGCCCTCACACTCTCCTTAGGTCATTTCATCCCCTGCTTTGCCTATAACCACCTTTTTGCTATGCCGGCCACTCTGGAATCATTTACAAGGAGAAGAAGACCAGAGCGAGGAAAAGAAACCAAGATTCAAAGAAATGTTGAAGAATCAGAGCAAGAAGAAATTGCACCGTCAACATTTAGTTTTCCAGCTCAGCTTATCGTACCCCGTTGAGGACCAGCAGACTGAATGTCAGGCGTGGGTTGGCAGGGCCATGACTTCAGCGTGTCAGGGGAAGGAGCCCAGGAGGAATCGGGTGGCACCAGGGCTGTGTGCGCAAACACACTGGTTGCTAGTGGCGGAGGGGAAGGCGCACCCAGCTCCTAGGGTGGGGAGAGCAGAACCCAGGAGAGAAAACTCCAGCAGCCACACCGGCCGCAGCTGCAGCGCAGCCAGCCGGGTCTGCTTGCACGGACCCCAGCCAGAAACCCCGCCCGGCACCAGCGCGCCTTGACGGACAGGCGCCGTGAGCAACCGTCTTCCAGTTCACCATAAACACTCCCTACTGCTCCCGCCTACCGTGTCCCTCTGCCAGCCAATCAGAGGGGTGGGCGGGATCGTCCCTGGGGGCGGGCTCCAATTTTTTTTTTTTTTTTTAAAGAAGGGTAGACAGTGCGCCGCGTTCCTGCTAGGGGAGGGGGAAAAAAAAAAAGGCTTCAGAGCTAGGGGGTGGAGCCTCCGTTGACGGGCATCCGACTCGGCCAATGAGGTGCCCCCAGCCCTGAAAGGCCCGGCCCCCGAGGTGGGCGGGGCGCGCGCGGGGCCCGGCCAATGGCGGCGGGGCGGACGGAGGCTGAGCCGCCGTGGGTAGGATTAGTGTGAGAGGCGCGGCGGGGGAGGTAATGATGATGGTGGCGGAGGAGGAAGGCGGGGGAGGGGGTGCTGGGCTCTGAGCGGCGGCTCCGGCAGGGTTTTGTAGGGTGGGGGCCGGTCGCGGGGCGACTCCGTCCGGGAGGGGGCGGGCGTGAGGCGCGCCGTCCGCCTGAGGGGCCGCGGACCCCGGCTCCCGCGAGCGCCGCGGCTGGCTCGGCTGTTCCATGTGGCTCCGGCGGGGATGGAGGACTCGGTGGCGGCGGCGGCGGCTGCTGCTGCGGCGGCGACGGAGGAGCGGCGCTGAGGAGGGAAGCGGGCCAGACCCCGCCCGACAGCGGGATTAGAGGTGTGAGGAGGGGGGCGGGAGCGGGCGTGCGGCGCGGCCGGGGCTCGCGGAGCGGGCTGGGGTCTGTGGCATCGGCCGGGTGACAGGGACGGCGGCGGCCCGGGGGTCCGGGCTCGGGCGGGCCGTGCCCCTGGGGAGGCGGAGGGAGGCAGCGCCCCCCGCAGCGTGCCCTCGCCCCGCCGGCCCGTGCTGCGCGCCCAGGCAGGAGTTTCCACTTCCCTCCGGTTGGCAGCGAAGGTGGCGAGCCCGAGTGGCCTGGGGCCGGGAGATTTCCCTCCACTCCCCCGTGCCCATCCGTTCCCCCCTGCGACCGAACAACGGCATTCCTCCTCGCTGCTCGCTGCGTTCCAAGCGCATATCCAAGCGACCGGAGGCTATTCATTATCGGCTGAAAAACAAAGTTTATTTTAAAATGTTACCACTCCTCCCTCTGACTGGCGGTGGACGTGAAACAGCATCCCCCAGACTTTCCCGCTCTACTCGCCCTTCCGCGATGCTCGGAGGAGGGGTGGGGGTGGGGGGGGAGGAGGTGGTAGGTAGGGCCCCGGACTTGGCGTTTCTCGGTGGTCGGTCGATGCTGATCACCTGATGTGTTGTTGCTCCACGGTCCTCGGCGTGGACCGTAATTTCTCCCCTGATGGCTCGCATCCTTGATGTTACTGGCATTTGAGGTTGGTGTTCTGTTTCATTGTTTGGGAAAAAAAAAAAAAAAAAAAAAGAACCAGCGGGGAGAGCTGAGGTTGTCTGTTGCAGTGTTATCTAACACGGGTGGTTAGTCACTCCCCATGCCTCTCTCTCATATTTTTCTCTCTTTGTTTTGCTTTTCAGCCCTCCGGAATACACAGCATATAGCCCCCCCTGAGGTGGAATGGTGATGTCTCCATGAGGGAACCTCCTCTCATTCATCCTGTCCTGTGTATCATACTGTTCTCGCCTGGGCCATTCATCTGAGATGGGATTTACCCCGTGAAACAGGGAGAAGACTTATGGACCCCCAACATCATTTCAAGTTGTAGTTGAGTTTTTTTTTTTTTTTTTCTAAAGTACAGGACATACATGCAAAGCTCCTCTGCTTTGGGCCCTCTGCTTTGTTAAAGCCGCTGTCTGGCGGACCCAGAACTGCTCCAGTTGACGGATCATCATGGCTTCAGTTTGGAAGAGACTGCAGCGTGTGGGAAAACATGCATCCAAGTTCCAGTTTGTGGCCTCCTACCAGGAGTTGATGGTTGAGTGTACCAAGAAATGGTAAGCTATACCTGGGGTCAAGCGTTTGCTGTGGCCTGAACTCGCTGTGGCCTAAAGTCTGCCGCTTCTGACAGCAGGTTCACCTTTCTGTAGTGCAGAGAGTGTGTACAAGCTGGGCAGGGAACCAAGGACTCTAACAAGTATTGTGGTGTGCACTGTTGCTGCTGGTACCATCCCTGTGGGTTTTAATTATTGCACTTCACTATGGCTCGGAGGACTGTCACTGTGAGAGCTTACTAAGTATAGTAGATTTGGTCTCGAGGTCTTTCATCATTAGTGTTAGGCATAACTTTTATTTTTTACTTTTAATTTTTTTTTATAATTTGAAGGAGATACAGGGAGTGCTATTGAAAATTGCGAACATGTGCATAAGTATGATTGTATCATGTGTTTTGATAGAGTTAGAGAAAATCTATATTCTTGCAGGGTGGTGGTGATCTATTTTATTTTGTTCTTGACTTTTCATTTTTCTTGGCTTAAAACAAATAATTTTTCATTATTTGAATAATGGAATGCCAGTCCATACAGCCTTAGAAATTCTTTTGTTATATGCTTAGTCAGGCAACTGTATTTTATTTTAATTGCCTAATGGGATACATTTCTTGGCCAGACTTAAGGAAGCAATTAGTAGTTCTGGCCTATGATTTGCTTCTTTCTACTTGAGCAAAGTAAATTTAGGGCTTTCTTTTCACTGTCTTGAATGGGAAGCAACAATTCTTATTTAGTAAGAGAAAAAAGAGTTAATGTTAAGCAAGTAGTCCTTTGGGTTTTGATTTATCACAGTGTTTAAGTAGTATTACTGCAAAAATAAGTCCATTTCATTGTCCATAAGGACTGTTGTCTCTTGTCTGTATTGCCTCTCTTTTTAACATCATTTTTTATTAGATGAAAAAAATGACTTTATTTTAGAACTCTTAAAGCATATTTGAATGGTGGAAACTAGTTTCTGAATACTTTTCTCTTGGACTTACTTGTTAGGAGTGTTATTTTACATGCAATTCAAGAAATGCATGCACTGATTACCTACTTTACACTAGGCATTGTGGCTTTAGAATTGAGTGTGACATAATCCCCACCTTCGAGGAGCTCCCAGTCCAGGTTAATGACAGTCATGAAAATAAATTCACTGTGATAGGTACAATAGTACAAATATGTATGATTTTAATATGTCTCCATCATTTAACAGTTGGTTATTCTTGCAGACAGGTTTTTTACTTCTCTGGGATTTAGTTTTCATATCTGCCAAAGAAAAAAATGGTACCATTTCATAGGAAAAGTTATTGTGAAGATCAAATGAGTTAATGCATATAAAATGCTTGGAACAGTGTGAGGCACAGTAAATGCCCAAGAAATGCCATTACCACTTACAGAGTTGATAGTGGAGGAAACAGTTCTTTAAGGGTAGAGGGTAAGGTCTTGGGATGGCTTCCTGGGATCTGAGTTGGGTTTTGAAAGATTCATAGTAGTTGGCCAGGAGGTTAAGGGGAAAGAAATGAAGGATATTCTAGACAGCCACAGCCTATGCAAAAAGTATGGGGGAGTTAAATAACATGGGATGTGCACGAAATTCAAGCAGTGTCATTTGTTAATAATGGGGCTTAAGGTGCAGTATGGGGGGTAGTGCAGTGGGATATGATGTTAGAGAGGCAGGCAGGATTCCAATCATGGAAAGTTATGTGCTTGGACTACTGTATGTGGCTTGGATTTTATCCTGTGGGTGATGGGGAGAGGAACACAGTGAAAGGTTTTGAGGAGAAGATACATTAGGTTTGCATTTTGGAAAAATCACTTGGATGATAGTGTGGAGTAAGGATCATAGTGAAAAGGGTGACTGGAGGCAGTGATGGCTGCCTGCTGTTGCAGTAGGTAAGGTGAGAGAAAAGGCTTAGACTAAGGCAGAACGCAGGTAATGGAGAGAATAGACTGAAGGAACACTTAGGACACAAGATGTATAGGACCTGGTGATCATTTTCGTCAGGGGTCTGGAAAGATGGGGGTGAGAGAGAGGGAAAGGTCTAGATGACCCCCAGGTTTCTGCTTTGGAAGAATGGGTACACTAACCAAACGAGGAAATGAGGAAGATCCTCATTACAAGTTTTTTTTAACTGAGAGTATACTGAAGTATCATTCTTTAAGATGGTTAAACTTGAGTCTCTTTTTAAAAGGGATATAGAACATATCAGAGGATTCTTTGGTTACAAAATCAGTTTCTTCCCCATAGTTTGCAGTATTGCTGATTTTTTTTTCCTTGAGAAGTGTGTAAGTTATTGTTAATATATTTCAATATGAAAGCAAGAAAAAAATTAACTCAATTATATATAAATTATATATTATATATGTATATATATAATATAACTCAGTTATAGTTGAATTGATCATTTTTTGGGATGGCCATTATGGTACACCTATTAAATTAGATCTTTATGATAGGATATGGATTTAACACTAGAAGCATTTGGATGTTCTAGAATTTCCAATTTTATAGTAATAACATGGAAGATAAATTCCAAGTATCAAAAGGATAAAAAAATAGATCTGATATAGAGATGAAGGAAAAAACTATAAAAAGAGAGAACAGATAGCATTCCATTGGGATTGTGTCTTTGAAGGTAACCTGTGTATGTAGGTTCCATTACCTTTTACCATTGCCCATTTGGCTCTTTTTTTTTTTTTAATTTATTTATGATAGAGAGAGAGAGAGAGAGAGAGAGAGAGAGGCAGAGACACAGGCAGAGGGAGAAGCAGGCTCCATGCACCAGGAGCCCAACGTGGGATTTGATCCCGGGTCTCCAGGATTGCGCCCTGGGCCAAAGGCAGGCACCAAACCGCTGCGCCACCCAGGGATCCCCTCCATTACCTTTTAGAACCCTGCTACTTAAATGTTTTCTGAGAAGCAGGAACGTTTGCAACACCTTGGACCTCCTGTTAGAACTGCTGACTCTTGGACCCTGCCCTAGACCTACTGAGTTAGAATCTGCATTTTAGTATGCATATTGGAGGTTAAGAAGCAGTGTTTTAAAATAATGCTTTCAACTTCCCTAAGTGTCCATTCATGACTCCAGGATAAAGTATATTCAGAATACACTGACTTCTGCATGAATTTAAAACTCAAGGAACGAAGATGAAACTCTTGTCGAGAGGTTCAGGACAGGCATGTGTTGATGGAAGAGGGTCATGGGAATCAGGATGTTTTTCAAGGGATAATGTGTTCTTTCTGTGATTACGGAGAGGAGAATGTTTCCCATGTTCTGTTGTCATGGCCATGGGGTATGAGCCTGGACATGACAGATAACAGGATGAAGGTAAGGGTTTATGGATATTTTTTTAGATCTAGGCCATGAGCAAACTCACAGTACTTTACCTTTGATCAGAGGATGGATTCTATAGATTAGAGGATTTGGGGCTTTTGCTTTCTCAAAGTTCTTTTCTGTTGCGTCTTACAGTATTTCACCTTTGCTCTGACTGACAGGGTGTGAGTTTCTTTAGTTCAACAGAGTCAACTTTCTGATTCTCTCTTGTTGTAGTGGTTCTAGAACTTAGGTCAGGAACAAAAATGACTTTCATTAATCTGAAAGAAGGGCACTATAACGTGAGGTCCTGTTCCTCATCACTCCTTGATTGCCACGTTAAGGCTCTAGCAACTTTGGAGATAATAGGGATTTATATCCTACTCTTATTGTTGTCGCAAAGTCATTTAATTATTAATCACGTATTTGATGAAGCTCTTGGCAAGTAATGAGACTGGCCATTGGAGATGAGTTTGAGAGAGAGACTGTGCTTTTTTCTTAGTTTATTTCTTACCTGGTTCCTTTATCATTTGCAGGCTTTTAGATTCTGAGAGAGTCTTCCATTTTATGAGCTCTCAGTGGTTATTCAGGTATTTATGGAAACTACTTGAAAGTTGGCAAGTTGTTATAATTTAGGTTGCAGAACTCAGTTCTGGTAGGAGCTACCTAATATATGATGTGAACCATTATGGATGAGTATATATTATACTTTGTATATGAGTCTCTATCATCTACCTATATGGACATTTTTATTTAGGTTTTTATATTTCATCTCATTCTCAGTTATGGCATTAAAAAAGTATTTAAAGTACTATAAACTTCTCCCAGAAAGGCAAACATATTTGTTTCTAATCTTTCCAAGTCATGTAACAATTCCTTTTTTTTAAACATATATTTAATTTAATTATAATTTATTTTAAAAATAGATAATACAAGATGTGTGTGTGTGTGTGTGTGTGTATGTGTATCCCTTAAAGTAACTCCTCATTTTCTCTATTATTCCACACCTCTTTGCAAACCTTGTGATCTCAGGATTTGAAAAGCAAAAAACAACAACAACAACAACAACAACAAAACCCAGCTCTTGCTAGTGCTTAACTTTGTGATGCTGGCCTGTTAGATAAAATATAAACTCTTTAATCTGATATTCCAGACTCTCTTTAACTGATCCCAATTTAGCTTTCCAGTTGGACATTAGAATGTTGCATGTACTTTAAATATTAACTTGAGTTTATGAAGGCCAAATTACATTCATAAGTACTCAATCAAATCCACTTCTTTGGATGGCTAAAGCAAGCATTTCTCTATTGGCCATTTAATGGAGTGAGATAGAGGTACATCCTTTCATGTAAAGAACCTACTTTTAAAGTACATTAAAAAAACAATTGGACACAAGCTTTTTTTTTTTTTTTAATTAGGAGTGTCTGGAAGGTCATTGTGTCTAGAACAAGGGGTAGGTAGATGATAAAAAGGTGTGGCCTGAGAAGTAGATAGGGGTAAGTTAATGCATGGCCTTGAGGTTGTGCTGAGGGCTTTTGGATTTTAAGTGTATAGAAAGCAACTGGAGAAATTTGAGCAAGGAAATGATGTAATATGATTTACATTTTAAAAAGATTATTTTGGATGCTGTGTAGAATATGAATTGTCTTGTGTGAAAATGGAAGCAGGAATACTAGTTAGAAGGCTATTGGCAGTAGCCTGAGTAGCAGTAGG